CAATTACCTGCTTATTTCTGCCACAAGGATGAGCCATTAAAACTGTTAAAACTGTTGAGAGGGAAATTGTCCTCTTAAGGTTTCAGCATCTCACCACTTGGATGGCTGGGTCAATTCACAGCTCTACTGGCTGCTCTTAAGTAAAGCCACCTTCAGACAGGAGAAAATTGTAAAAAAAATTTCGTTATCACCCTTTAATTATTTTTTTCTATTTAATTAAGGGTGCCTTTTTAAAAATTACAGAACTAGAGGAAGCCTCAGTAATTAGATATTTAGCATATCCATACACGGAAATGCAATGCTTTCACAATGAAAGAGCATGCCTTGTTTACACTCATTTCAGTTTCAACTAGATCTAATTTGGCAAGCAAAGTTTCAGATTCTTAAAACCGATCATTAAGCAGTCATCCGACATTTAACAAATATAATGTAAGGTATAATTTTTGTTTTAAAATGTATTGCATACATTTTGTTAATACTAGTTACTGAAGGGTGTCAAAGCTTTGTTTTACCATCTTTAACCTGGGTCTAACTCAACCATAACGCAAAAGTGCCTCTTGTTCCAGCTCTAATCCAATGAAAGTCAATAGGTTTTTCCTAGATTAACAATGTGCTTTGAAATTCTTCAAAGCATCTGCTAGGCCGAACTGTGGGCTTTTAAAATAATTTGTACTGGAATTGCAAACAATAAAGTAACATTTGCTTAGTTGACCACAGTTACTATGGAAAGAAGAAGGAAAAAAAGTCTGAAAGGGTTGGAAACATATCCTTCCAACCAGAGCATCATGACAATATACTATGACTTGGTATATCCAAGTTATAACATCCAGCTCCAAAAATATTCTTGGGAAGAAACCTAGGACTGACTCTTGAAGATGAGGTAAATCCTCCCAAAAAACTATAGTAAAAATATTATTATATTGGAAGAAATATGATCTGAGCTTAATGGCCAAAAGCTAAAGATGAGAGAGAAGAAAATTGCCTTCAGACTGGATTGTGATAAACTCCAGTGAGGTCTTCTGAAGATGCTTTATATGGCAACCATATCTCTCTCAGTAGATAAATGGGAGCTGGACGTGTCAGAGAGAGTACATTATTGTAAAAAAAATAAATGGTAAATCAGTTAAATACATACTTGAAACCTTCAGAATCGTAGGGAAGAACTTGGATAAGAAGAGAAAAACATACTAATGGAAGTATCTTGGATGGCTCAGGGAAAAGAATAATCAAGCGGGAAAATTAAATAAACTTAGTATTTTCCACAGTGGCAAGATTTTGATGCACTCTTCTGCAGAAAATTTTCCAATTGTGAAGCCTATTTACATTAAAGTTGCACGAGTTGGAATTTCTAGGGCACAGAAAGTCCCAAGATGTAAAAGTGCTTGGAAGCCATAAATGGCTCAGGAGACAAATGGAAATAACTGGCGTCTTCTAGCCACAAACCTTCTGAGCCAAACTTCTATCTTGCCTTCTGAACCCAAAGGGCTAAACAGGCCAGTGCCTTGTTCTGGGGCTCTTGCTATCAGAAGAAAACTGAAACAGTCTCTTGAAGCCATTTAGGCAATGAAACAATCACTGCTGCTTTTAATATCTCCTTGCCCTAGGCAACCACCTGTTTCGCCTAGCATATATATTGCAGAACTGGCCCTGGCAGCAAAATGCAGTGGGTCAGGCAGTCTCAGTGTCACAAAAACAATGAGAGGAGATAGCACAGCTGCAGAAACCTGCCCGAGGCTCTCTGGCTTGCAGGATTTTAAAGGAGCGTTTGCAGCACTGACAGTTACGGGCAGGCAGTTTTCCCACACAAAGCCATTAGAAAATGGTGCGTCCATGGCCAGTCCTGAGCCCCCAGACAGCTTTTGCTGTATCAAGATTAAAGGAATACGAGGCAGCTGGGGCTAATAAACTGAAAATCAATGTCATTAACAAAGAGGGGGGGGGGAAAGAAAACAAAAAAAAAGCCCTGCAGAAGCTGAAACTTTCAGATATGTCTCTTGCTGTGTAGAAAGAGATTGTACAGTTGTCTTGGTTCTCCTTGGATTTGACCTCAGATTTAGGGAGACAAAAAATATAGATGATGTCTGAATATCCTGTTTATTAAACATGCATATAGTGTACATATATGCAGCTGTAGGTATGCATATGTATACATCTGTGGTTTTCTATTGACTACACAGAGCTTGCATGATACTTTTAGGATCTGAGAGGAGTAGCACCTATGATTAGTGAGGTTATGAAATTTAGTTACACCTTCTATGACTGCCACAGGTTATGGTATGGCAGCACAGACCCACTTCACGGTATCTTCACACCTTCTCAGTGTTTCAGAGCTAACGATGACATACAGACTGGTAAACTTAACAACAGTCAGCAACATTCCTGTGCTTTCGAATGAGATCAGCTTTTCTGAAAAACTGTTTTGAATAGCCCTTGGCATGCTTTCAGCCTGTGTCAGCTAGCTCTGTCCCATAAAACTCATAATCATCGTTTCTGTTCGGACATAGGCTGTTCATATTGCAGCTACTCCGTTTTGGAGATCAAGAGATCTTACAAGCACATTCACACGCCACGCTCAGCCAGTTGGCCTCGGTGCCAAGAAATGCTTCCAGACACACTCACTTTACTAGTATAGATGCAGCCAATTAGTTCAAATAAATAGTGATCTCACAGCATTATCACTGGCCTACTGTTAATCTGTTTCATGCTCTCATGACTGATATTTGAAATTCAGAAAAAGCAACATGAATGCCAATGACTGAACACGTTCAATTGAATATGAGGACCTGCACAGGCAAAGATCCACAAATGTGAACCCAAGGCAGTATCTCCATTTCTCCTAAACTACTGGTTTCATGGATCTGAATTCACACTGCATCAGAAAGCTGTAAAGGAATAAATACAAAATTAAAAAGACAACTTCATTAGCAAAGAAATGGCAACTCTTAAAAAACATTTTTAAGCTTAGCAACTCATTTGGATTACCGTTTACACAGTAACTTGTTTGTGTACAGCAATACATTCTGCTTTATATTTTTGTCTTAACGTGTAAGAATAAACTGTTGCATTTTTATGAGCAATATTCATTTACATACCCATGTTTTACTCTCTTTTACAATATTAATTTAGACTGTCATATTTTAATCTCTCTTGTTACTCCCCCGCTCCTTTCTAATTACAAAACTGTCCACCTCTTTCCAAAATTAACAATGAATTATTATTAGGCATTTTCATCTTGGTTCAGTAGAAATAAATTTTCTGCTTTAATGTATTTCTTTTCTTTTCAAGAGAAATGATGATTTATACATTAGACAGGACAGGCATTTGTATGCAGAGCTTTTCCATGGTTTTAATGAGAAAGATTTTTCTTTTCACTTTCTACTAACAAGGAAAAATCACCTGGACCATGTTGGTTTATAAACATTTCCTATTTAAGTTGCATTGAGAAAGAACAAGCATCAGACATACAAAAGCATTACAAGACTGTAATGTTGTGCATTCTGGAAACTTATAAGGAAAATCAGAAACTAAAATACTTTATAAATGAAGAATTGAGATTAATTTTGGAGAGAATGATGGAGGGTAAGGGAGAATGGTGCTCAGACAAAAAACAAGCAAAGAACTGCAGGATATCTGTGTCAGTCCAAGTGTAAAAAATGCCTTGAATTCCCAATTAGCTTAGTAAACCGAGCATGTCGCTAGGACAACAGATTGACTGAATGTCAGCTGGAAAATTATTCCCATAGTGAGTGATTCTGAGACCAACAAGGAAGGACAGAGAAGTCTGCAGGAAAACTCTCCCAACCAAAAAAGGTGAGGAAAGGAAAACTATGAGTCCAGACAAAGATCTGTGTGATTTCAGATCTAGAGGAAGTACCAGTGCATTTGAACCCGTTAAAGCATTGAAGTGGAAATTTTATTTTACTAGTTCTTCCTCTTACAAGCTGGATAGTATTCCTTAAAACAAAGCCCCTCTCAGTGGCTTAGCTCCCTGTTCTCACCTAGGATATGTGGCAAATCTGCTTAGCATTTGTCTAATGCTAAATTCATACTTTCTTTCTCCCAAGCAGGAAAGTGCAATGTTCAAGCACCAGATTTAGAACAGCAGCATTTTATTTTGCATCTAATGTATTATATTGTTAGAAGGTCGCGTGATTCTCTTGCTAGCATTCTACTTCAAAGATAAACTGAGAGAATAACGTGCTGCAAAGACCAAGGTCTTCAGCAAGCACAGCCATGACAGCGACAACAATATCAATTACAAGAGGAGTATGCTCACTATACTAAGGATAGGATAAATATCCCTCTTTGCATAGGGTTTTAAAAGACTTATAAATCTTATTTTCTCTTTTCATTTCCCTTACAAAGCAGAACGTAAGGCCTAGAATAAAAAAATATTGGTCTTGATCTTTGCTCACTGCAGGTGATCCTCAATGAATTCTCAGTGAAAACCATAATGAGTTCTGCTGATGCAGATGTGTTGTAAGTCAAACTTTCTCTGCTTATGAATTTCCTCATAACAAGCTTTTCCTAGCTGACATGGTGTCTATAGGGCAGAACACTAACAGAGCAGTACCATCCTTTTATATAGGTTATTTTACACATCTTCCCACAAACGGTAACAGATGAAAAGTATTTAATTTTGTCATCTGCAACCAAATCACCAATTTGATCTAAACCTTGCCCAAGTTAGGGGAAAGGCTTTAATCAGGCTTTGGCTCACTTTCTAAATGTGGCTGAGATGTTTTATAGCTATTTCCAGAAACCAAACCTTCACTATAAATCAGCACAGCATATTACCTGCTCAGCTTCATACATGCACATGTGTTTCCTTGACTTGTTAATAAAAGCTATTCTGTCTTACTATAAAAGCTAACTCAACATTTTCTCCTCTAAATCTTTTCAGAAATAGGCTAAAAGCATAAGAAAACATCTTTTACTTATTCTCTTCCCATCATAATAGAACAAATATATTATCATAGTTAAAATACACTCTGAAATTATGATTTTAATATACTTTATTGAAAAAGTACACGGTTTTAAATTGTTTTCAATGAGACAAAGCAATGGTCACCTCTATCTACCAAGTCCTTTTTTGATGAATCATGACCACCATATGCCAAATTCACATCTCCATGACTTGCAAAGTAAAAAGATAAATCTTTTTTCAACATATCTTTAAGAATTTATATCACCAACAGTTTAAAATCATGAAATGCTGATGCTCTGACTATATTTCATGTCCTCTATGTTGTACCATTTCCCGAACCACAGTTTATCCATGTATTAGCATGCCAATTGAACACATCAGTCAATGTCACCTTGAGAAAATCGTCAATAGCAGAGGAAGAACAAGAGGAGGTTTAGCATCAAGGCCTGAGACACCACCGCATTCTCTTGCATTTTCCTAAAGAAAAAACAAACAAACAACAAACAAATGAAAATAAATACAAGCCATTACACTCAATTATGATCCATGATTATTTATCAAACTACATAAGCAGAAGAGTATTGGTGCAAACAACAAAATCCATTAACTAAATACACTCAGGACGTAATACAGGTTAATACAGGTAATGTAGTAATATTCATTGTTCATGTGAACAAGTTTAGATTGTAGACTGAAAGTGAGCACAATCAACAAGCATTGCACAATCCCCTCCATGGCGTATTTTAGGTCTCATTCCACATTGCATTACACCATCAAAGGCATGTTACTCCAGAGTAAGACGGACATCTATCAACATACGCTGTACAAGCCACTGTAATCACATCCTGTTCTCTATCAGATCTCCTTGGTACTATACAACTAAGAGTACTATGCAGAACACAGATTACTAAGTATGTGTAGTGATCTCTCCCCAGCAATACTATGTGTAAACATAATGATTATAGCATGACAGTTGAGATACTGAAGCTACTTACTGAAAAAAGACATTAACAGCACAAAGTTCCCAACCACCACTAATGAGGAATCTTGTGGTCAGTGTTTGAGCCAGAGTAAATTCTCAGATATTCCTGGCTGCCAGTCTGTGCTCACATCCTACCACATTCTCTTATATGATACAAAACAGCCTACAAAAATAGCGTCAAGACATTGTCTGTAGGAGTACTAAAAAGATTTGCAGCACTTACAATATCACTCACTTCCTCTACTACTGTGTTCTGAGTGTTCAGAATATTTCCTGATGTTTCATCTTAGAAGATAGTTTTCCTATTTATTTTTTTAAAGAAATAAAACATCCACCAGAGTCTAAAAGAAAGGAAAAGTAGGTAGAAACTTACTTCAGGGTGAAATCCATGACAAGATTCTGGGCGTCTTCTTATCTTCTGAGATTTTAAACGTTCACATTTAAGGGATTCATTATGTACAAGGTAGTTAAGGAGAGATATGAGCATTGCATTTTAATGTCCTAAGTTTGTGTGTGTTCTGAAATGAATATAGTGAAAATTTATCACCTCCTTCCTTTTTCTCCATCAGAAACCCAAGGTGATATGTGTCAACACAAGAAAAAGAAGTTAATTCTCGTACTTTCTCCTCAGTGATCCATAGTTTAGACAGCATCATTTGCACTTACACTGCTAACCTGTCTTTCCATAATAACTCTGCAATAAAAGCACACTGCGGGCTATTTTTGCTAAATTCCAACTTACGTGAGAAAACAAATCTTGAACTACAGAACAACACAAACTAAAAAGTGAGGCAACTAAAAATCAAGTGATATATTTACTTTGCTATGTTTTTATATTTTTGGAAAGAGGGATTCTGAAACATTTTCAGCAGTCCAGTCCAACCTTAAAATGAAAAAGTTATCTATATTGTAACAAGTTTTATAAGTTCTAATATCAGGACCTCCATTCTCATAAGGAAATTACATACTTAGGGCCTAATCTGAAAGCTATCAAAAGATGACCATGACCTTATGATACTTAAAGATGCACATAAGTGTGTTTGCTTAATCTGTATTGACTATTCAAGGGGGGAAAAAAAAAAAAAGTGAATCCCCCTTTAAAATAAGTAAGAATGCATTCTCAGCTGGCTTAATTTCAAACAGCCACAGGACTTTACAATGGCTAATGATGTGTTCTTAAGTCATGTAATGCAAATTTTACATAATAAATTTTTCTCCGACAACTCTGCAAATAAAAGGATATATCTTATTTCTATAGGTGCCATGGTAATTGGTGGGACAGAATCACAGAAGCATTCATTATCTACTACCACCATGAAGAGATTGCTGCTTGGGATTTGCTGAATAACAAAAGACCTGCAAATTAAAAAGAAATCAAATAATGGTGAAATTATCTCTATTTCTGAGCAACAGAAATTAGGGTTTTTTGAACTTGTCAACAACATCTGTATTATAATCACAAGTATCATTGACTTTATCATACTGTATAACCACACTTTGTAGAAGCAGAGGGCCTTGGGCAATGCTTCCCTCAGTTCACATGATATAGTTGTCCATTTTAAGATGTACATGATGCTGAAAGGTGGAGCAGAATGGATAGGCTTATACTGCTGATATGTTAATGAGTGAGCTGGGACACAAGTGAATTACCAAGGAGTTTATCAGATTTTTCTTTTTCAGATTTCAATATTGAATCTCTGCTCTATTACAAATACCTAGCTATGTATTTATGATCTGGAATTTCTAAGTACGCATGAAACTAATCTGCAAAAATAATGAAGGTTCTTCTGCCGCCATATAGTCATAACTCACGGTCCCAAACTTTAGTCTCTACAATCACATTGGGGCCTTTATTCGCTCTGGATCTTGCTTGAATCAACACGAACTACTGAGAAAGATCTCAGCTTTCATCTGTCCTCGTGAGAGTCATTTTATTACAGAGCCAACAAAACAGAGATTAAGCCTCAAAATCTTCCTAAGCGAGGAGATTTCTTTTAGAACAATGATGACTATATGGTACAAATATGGTGATAACTCAGCACCACATTCAAATGAAGACAAAGTAGGCAACTCAAAAGGAGAGTGAGAAATAAAGACATTGCTTATAAGAAGGAAAGCACCCAGGGGAGACCAGGGAAGGATCCTGTGGGCACTCCTCAATGATCCACATAGTTACAATGAGCTGAACTCTTAAGCACATACCAAAGAGAAAAGCAGGAGGAAGCAGAGCCAAATAGGCGCTGTTTAGCCTTTTCTTTGAAATTCAGGACACAATACAAAGGAAGGCTTTAAGGCTCAGACCCAATTCTTGATAAATTTTTAAAACAATCTGTCAGAATTTATATATTGCATCAATAGAGTATCTGTCATATCGAGTATCATTGCAAACTGGCAATTCCAGGAATTAGGTGTTTTCCAGTGTAGTATGCTGGTAAATGTACAGAACACCAAGTGAGGGTTTGAGCACCAAGATGTGGAGAGAAACATATTTTTCCTCAGCCATCTTTATTTAAAATACATATTGTCTTACTAAAATAACTCCCTGCTTTTTCCAAAGATCACAGAAGAAGAAATAGCGGAGGGGGTAGGGAATAGTCAAACCTAGCTTCAGAAAAAAAAAAAAAATTGGAAAACTCACTATAAAAATATTGCCAACGGAAAGATTAAACACTTTTCAGTATTTTTAAACTTACTGAACCTCCATTAAAATTACACTTAGAGTGATCTGCAATATGTTAGCTTTATGTTTATACATGAAATATACATTTATGGCATAATGTAAAAGGCTGAACTTTATAAATGTACCTACCAAACAGCTGGAGCATGTAGCAAGACTGACATCATTGTAATGGAGCATCTGTGGCTTTGTGGGTTTGTGTGTGGGAGAAATGGGGCCAATAAAAGGAAAGGAGGGAAAATCTTTAACAGACAATAACACCAAAATTGTACTGCATGAATTTCTCAAAAGAGTTATGAATAAATCAAACCTTAAAGGACAGAAAAAAACCCCAAACTAATTTAATTCCCAGAAATTGGCACAATTTGGATTTTGTGTAGTCTGAAATTTATATTTATTTTGTCTTTAAAACCAGCTCAGAAAAGGACCTGAAAGGCTTAAAGTGCTGTAACAATTAACTGGATGCTAAATGATTCTTATGTCTTTTTGATGAGAAGGAGTAATCACTCTTCTCTTGTACCTACAGTGTGCCTGACTCCAAGCCCCTTTGTGATAGCCCTTTTTTGTGCTCTCCAGGTGAATACTGAAGCCTGTGAGAAAGCAGGTACCACACAGCCAGGCTTAAAGGTGCCATTTCATGAAAGATGGGCACATTTCCCATTTTGTTTCTTCTTTCACCCACTTCTCTAGGGTGGCATAAGGGCTGTGCAGTATAGGCTATTGCTTCCTCAAAGAAGAGTGGGGGAAAAAAAAAAAATAAAAAAAATTGGGAGCTTTTCCTGTCAATTCACCTAGCTGGAAGGAAAATAGAAAGCACTTTAACCCGGAAGAAAGTTTTCACTACAGAACTGTGATGCTGCGTAAATTACTATGTGGCTTCTCTGACTGAATATTCAAAAAGTACAAAAGTTTGTAGGAATTAAGCGATACGGAAAATTTTGCTAGACCTGATAATTTGAGGAATGCAGTATATGCATGGATTTCTGGAAATCATGTATTAAAGGAACTGCAAAAAGCACTACATTAGGTTAAGTAAAAAAACCTTTTCTACTTTAGGAATTATATGATAGATATCAACTAATTACACTGGTTCAGTTTACCAGACAGTGAATATTCTTATAAATCTGCAGTCCGTTTATCTAATACAGACATTTGTGAAGCATCTAACCCTATGGTGACTGTCACAGAACATGTGACTGTCATCTAGAGTGTCAAAAAAAGATGAAACTTTAGGCTCACTGCAGCATTTTTTTCCACAGTGCATAATAATGTCTTAACTAACATCTTGCAAAGTGGAACAGCTAGCTTCTCATCCACCATAGTTGAGGTAAATTCCAAAGAAAATGTTATCTTCCAGAAGCAGTAAATGAATGGCTTCCCTTCCACAATTCTCAAACTTAATCTTGAAATGAAGTTGTAAAGCCGAGTGCGTGCCCTCACCAGGCATTGAATTGTGAGGTCACAGGCAAAGGATTAACGTATCAACAAGTGAAGACAGGATTGAAGACAGAGATTGAGTTGAGCAAATAATTAAGGGCAAAAAAATTGTTATGTCCAATTTAGCTTTCTTTTCTATTAATAGCATCTGCACAAGCAAATTATACTTCTTTCAGCTGCTGTAATTTAAGATCATTTCACAGTCAAGAGGTATGCTTACCCTCTCTAGATCAATGGCAAAGAAGTTTCTGCCAATCATAACCACTGCAGTTGCTCTGTGACTATTCAGAAAATTCACATGGCGCTGCTTCCATGCCCAAACTGGATAAAGCACACAATCATCCCAGCAGCAGGTCTTCTGTTTGAGTTCAACATTCAGTTTCCATGGTGACACGCGCATGCATCTTTGAAATTCATTTTGAGTGAATGTTCATGCCAGTAAGTCTCAGGAACTGAACATTCACAGAAAACAAAAGGTGCATAAGCACAGTCAGAACAAAGTCTTTCAAATACTGAAATATTCCAACAAAACGTTTCATTGCGTACGCCAAGACCCAGTTGCGAGGAAGAAAAACTTCCAGGAAAACAGCTTCCATCACTGCGGTGGGAAATAAAGAGAGCTGCTGACAAAGTAAAGAAAATGGTCTTGTCTTTTGAGTGAGCTCCACTGTGAGTCTCTCCAGTTTCTACTACAATAAGCAGTTCTGAACACCTGCTAGCTTAGGCTGCCATTTGTGTCACTGGCAATACGGCAGCCAGCTCCCAGTGACAGAGTAAGGGGGTTTATTGAACTTTATTGCTGGTTCAACAATCAAAGAAAGTCTATGGTTAGTAGCCTGTGTTTAATATTTATGGAGAAATTTTCACATTTAAAGGCTAAAGCCCTTTTTGTGTTAAGTAACGTAAACTATCTGATTTGAACCTTTTTCCTTTACACCAGTATCATCACATCATTCGATAGTGACAGCACAGAAAAAGCCTTGCATACGTCTCCATATAAAAAATGGAATAAACTGTTGAGGTTCCTATTATGTTGAAGCCACACTGGGTCAATAAGAACCCTATTAATACCTTCTCCTCTGTCTTTCATGCACAGAGGAACTAGTTTGGTTTATTTGATGTGCAGGTTCAGAAGCCTAAACTAGACCTGAACACACACTGCTTCTTCACTTTGCAGGGAAGGTGAGGCAGGAAGAAATTTAATACTTGAAATGGGGGAGAGAGAGAAGGAAGAAGAAAATCTGATAATGTAAAACTGTTTTGTTAATGAAGGAGAAATAAGAACAGAGAGTATATCTGCAAGCAAGTCTGTATTTTGAGTCAGAGAATGACACGACAATTTTCTCACATTTCACATGCTTTATCTGTTCCTTTCTAACCTATTTCTGTATCGGCCTGTATAAAAACATCTGCATAAATATAATATACATTTATTTGGAAAAAAAACCAAAACAGCAGCTTCATGTTTTATTGGAAATAGTAAATATCTGCTAAAAATGCAAGTATTTATTAATCTGTTCCTTGAAAATTATTTTTTCATTGTGGAATAAAACAGGAAAAAACTTGGAATGCAAGTACGGCTGCATTCATAATTATATATGCTAAAGTCATGCTTATGAAGGCATGATAAGAAAGCACACTTTTAATGTGTCTAGTGGCTAAATGACTCCTCCCACAGAGAATGAGTTCTAATTTCTTAAGATAGCCTAGAATTTGAAAAGCATCGTAATAGGACTGCAATACACATCTTGGAGGACAGTCACACCGGCTGCCCTCATGCATGTAACCCTTACATGAGAAGGATAATCACCTCCCTCTCTGAATGGAGTACATGCAGAGACATAGACTGTTCAACGATAACTGAGAGCAGGAGCTTGGCTTCCATGGTCTGAATCATCCTCTGCAGGAGGGTCTTTCTCTCTCTTTCATGGCTGAATAGTGATCCTACAGAGAAATGCATCCTGAACGGGGTGAAATGTGATGCCTAAAGCTAAGTACAGACTACACCTGTTCTAAAAGAGCCAGCAAACTACCTTCAAACTTGTTGTTTGTTTGTTTGTTTGGGTTCTTTTTCCAATTTGAATCTCTTCCTTTTGCTTATATATATAAAAGTTTCCATACAATTATAATATACATTATGTTGTTATCATAATTTCTTTCACTGACTATGTTTTTAAAAAAAAAACAACAAACCACCTAATTTCAAAAATGTCAGCCCTTTTTCTTATTACAAAAATTACTT